CGACATGCTGTGGGGTTGTTAACCAATGTCATAAAACAGTATGTGTACTACTGTTTCATGAGAAACTATTTGTTCTGTAAGCCTTCACCTGAAGTACAATTAAAAAAAAAAAAAAGAATAATATAGCATCTGAATCCTTTAGGAGGTTATTTTTCAAAACTATGGGTTTTTTTGTTTCTTTGTTTTTTAATAGTTAGCCTTCCTTTTTAGAAGAATACTATGATTTCGTCCATTCCAAGAGCATAATACAAATGGACTGCGTCTCTTTCTTTTTTCTTTTAAGACTTTTTTTTTATTGTACATTAAATGAAGGTTTACAGAACAGACTAGGTTCTCATTAAACAGTACACATATTGTTTTATGACATTGGTTAACAACCCTACGACATGTCAACACTCTCCCTTCTTGACCTTGGGTTCCTTATTACCAGCTTTCCTGTCCCCTCCTGCCTTCTAGTTCTTGTCCCTGGGCCGTTGTGCCCCAGTAGTCTCATTTTGTTTTAAGGAGCTGTCTAATCTTTGGCTGAAGGGTGAACCTCAGGAGTGACTTCATTACTGAGCTAAAAGGGTGTCTGGGGACCATACTCTCGGAGTTTCTCCCATCTCTGTCAGGCTAATAAGTCTGGTCTTTTTTGTGAGTTAGAATTTTGTTCTACATTTTTCTCCAGCTCTGTCCAGGACCCTCTGTTGTCATCCCTGTCAGAGCAGTCGGTGGTGGTAGCCGGGCACCATCTAGTTGTGCTGGACTCAGTCTCATGGAGGCTGTAGTAGTTGTGGTCTATTAGTCCTTTGGAGTAATCTTTCCCTTGTGTCTTTAGTTTTCTTCAGTCTCCCTTGCTCTCAACGGGGTGAGACCAGTGGAGTGTCTTAGATGGACGCTCACAGGCTTTTAAGACCCCAGACACTACTCACCAAAGTAGAATGTAGAACATTTTCTTTATAACCTATGTTACGCCGATTGAGCTGGATGTCCCCGGAGACCATGGTCTCCACAGCCCTCCACCCTGGACTGTGTTTCTTAGATGTGGAAAAATTCACCAAGATTCGCTTGTGTCTCTCGTGTGTTTAGGTTCTGTTTCATGTTAACAATGGTGCTGGTAGGATAACAGCCACGTATGAGCCCCAGACTGCTCTCTGTGATGGGAAATGGCACGAACTCCAAGCTAACAAAAGCAAACACCGCGTGGTTCTGATGGTCGATGGGAACGCAGTTCATGCTGAAAGCCCACACACCCAGTCCACCTCCGCAGACACCAACAACCCCATTTATGTTGGCGGCTATCCTGGTATGTGTGGCTGTCTGCTCTGCTCTTTCACTGCTGTTGGGGGCGTCTTAGTTCAGGTGGGTAGAAGAGGGATTGTAAAAGATACATAGTTTGAGTGACAAATCTTTTACCATGAGAAGGGCTGTTTCAAACACCTAGGAATTCTTGGAAAAAATAAGATGCTCTACACACGTAAGTGAATCATTAGGTAAGACTGAGATGGTTGGATCTGATTTAAAGTAAGCTGAGTGCTTTACTGAGGCGGATCAGTCATCATTTTAGGGAACAAATGTCGGTCTTATCATTTTGGATTAGAATCATGCATTTCAGCTGGTCCACGTAATTGTTACAAATGATAATAATATAAACATGTTATTTTATGACTTTTAACATAACTATGGCTTTAAATTATTATATATTAAAGTTTCTCATGAATTCTACTATTGACTGAAGCCACACATGTGGTAAGACATCCTTCTAATTTTGATATAGAAACCACTTGAGATTATTTTTGTCTCTATTGTTCTCCCTATGCCATTTCAACAAAATTAAGCAAGCTTTACCTTCTCTTCCCTCTTTCCTAAACAGCTGATGTAAAGCAGAACTGCCTTACCAGCAAAGCCTCGTTCCAGGGCTGTCTGAGAAAGCTCACTCTGAGCAAGGGCCCACAAGTGCAATCCTACGACTTCAGCCAAGCTTTCCACCAACATGGAGTTTTCCCTCATTCCTGTCCTGGGACTGAGCCCTGAACTTTAGCGAAAATCCTCGGTTGGGAATCATTGTGTATATTTGGAGGAGAATTACTTTTGTGAATTAACATCTCTTCCATTCAGAGTTCATTTCCAACTCAGGTTATATGTTTCCAGAGAGAAATATTGAGCTTATGTTAAACTAAAACCATGTGTACAACAAATACCTCTATTAAATAGCTCCAAGACGTAAATTGAATTAATTGGCTCGCTTCAGTGTTTTTAATTAATCTTTGTAAACATGGAATGTTCTATTGATTACTTGACAGTTTTTCATGTTTTGCATTTTGAGCTTTTAAAAACTAAAATCTCATTACAGACTGTAATAGATTAGAGCAGAGTATGAATACTTTCATTCCCTGATCAAAATTGTAAGCTCCAGCTTGTCTAAAAATAATGCCATTGGTTAAATTCCAGCATAGGGCACAAGCAGTTTGCAACAGGAGCTTTTAAACAAGTCCTATGAAGCAGAGAACAAAGGAAAGAGATGGAAACCTTCTTCTGACGTATCCTTGTTCCGTCAGGACCAGACCTAACAGCATTTTGCTAGGAAAAAAAAAGGTTTAAAATGGTATTGCAACTCGTTAGCTGTTCCTTTATTGCCAATTCTGTTCCCCTCCCCACCCCTTGGAACGAGACAGCTTTCCTTGATCAGCTACTTTTTCTGTGAGAATGTGTGCGATTTGAAAAGCAGGGAAATTTAAAACCCACCCAGGTATGTTCTTTTAGTGAATTAAGCAGTTTTAGACCTAGATTTCAGCCATCTTATTTTGTTCCCTCCAAATATGTTTTAGTTCTGCTCTGGGGCCACGGCTGAGGTCGAAGTGGCTACTATCCCATAAGCTTTGGACAAACGATGTCGTTTCTGGAATGCTTACTTGGAGAGTGGCCTCTAACTCTCGTAGCAAGGACCTGCTTTTCCGCAATGAAGATGCTAGATTTAATTTTTATGTCCGTTAGGGATTGTAATTGGATACACGGGGCAAACAGCTGTGGTCCTAGTCTGCATCCCTCCTCTGTGTCTGGGTCGTGTCTCCGGGCCTTGTGGTCATCTGCACCTTTTGGCCAATGCATTTGAAATTTGTAATTCCTTCCTGATTAAATATCCGTGTGAAGAAATTCTTCCAGAAAGGCAGTAATCAATGGTGGGAGTACTGATAGCTCTGTAACACCTGGCGATATAAGGACAGACTCCTGCTAACGAAGGCGGTTCACTCAGCAGCCGGCTTAGGAAGGGGCGTTGCTGTCTCAGGCCATGGGCAGCGTGAAAATGCACACAGACTTCCCCGTGCAAGGGAGGCCTTTCTATTCATGTTTCAATAGAAACAGCTGCAGCGGGAGATGAGGGCTTGGACATCCTAGACCTTGGTCCATACATTGGGTGCGGAAGTGCTCAAAACTGGGACACAGAGCACAGATTGAGGGGTTGCGTTGGGCTTGGCGCTCCCTCTCTGTAACTGAGGCTCACTGGGGGGCCTCCCGCTGGTTACTTCACTGCGCTTAGAGGGGCGACTCTGCCTTGTGCGGTAGGACTGCCAGACGAAACACCGGACGCCCGATAAGTCTGAAGCTCAGATTTTTAGTATAAGTGTGCCCAAAATATTGCATGGCATCCTGTATTTTTTATTTGCTAAATCTGGCAACCCCAGTTTAGAGGCCCCAAGGACCCAAAGGGATTATGATACCCCATCCTTCACTGCCAAGTGACTCAAGATAAAAACAAATCTAAGCCTTAAAATGCACGCCACGAAGTCCATTGAAGATCCTGTTTTTCCCAAGAGGCTTTTCTTGAACTATCCGATTATTTCCCTTGGTTTGTGGTGCCCCAAGTCTTTGCTTAGTTGGCCTACTGATCTGTCACTGTTTTTAAGACATAGTTTTCTCATCTGTTAAACTGGGTCATGATAGCAACCTCAGAAAGGTAAATATTTAGGGAATGTTATTCAAATTGACTCAAAAAGAAAGAAAATACCTAGATAAGCCCATAACATTGGCTGTATTGAAATTTAATCCTCAATCGCACCTGGCTACAAGGAAGTCCAAGGACCAGATGGATTTGTAGATAGGCTGTACTAAACATCAGAACAAAAGCAGGTAAGAAAGCCAGCCAACCGGTGTAACACAGCTGCCATAACTTTTAAGGGGGCCTGCTGGCGCAGTGCTTAAGCGCTCGGCTGCTAACCAAAAAGGTCAGAGTTCGAATCTACCACCCACTCCACAGGATAGAGATGCAGCGATCTGCTTCCGTAAAGATTTACAGCCTTGGAAACCCTACGGGGGCAGTTCTACTTTGTCACATAGGGTCACTATGAGTCGGAATTCAACTCGACAGCAATGAGTTCGGTTTTGGGTTATAACCTTTAAACGAAATAAGAGAAGAAAAGTATCAAACAATTGCAGACCAACTTTATTTATGGATCTACATGATGAAATACTGTTGTTATTATTGTTGGGTGCCTCATAGCAATCCCATGTGACAGAGTAGAACTGCCTCTTGGGGTTCCCTTGGCTGTAACCTTTAGAGGAGCAGATGGCCAAGACTTTCTCCCATGGAGCTGCTGGGTAGATTCAAACCACCAACCGCTCAGTTAGCAGCCAAGCACTTAACTGTTGCACCAAGCAGGGCTCTAGTTCATTTAATCTTTCTGGAAAAATCATGGCTAATCACATTCACAAACCCATGGATTCTCCCCCCCCCCACATTTTATTTATTCTCATCTGTTGATGGACACTTGGGTTGTTTCCACCTTTTGGCTACTATGCATAGTACTGCTCTGAACAGCGGCGTACAAATAGCTGTCTGAGTCCCTGCTTTCAGGTCTTGTGGGTATATACCTAACAGAGGAATTGCTGGGTCATATGGTAATTCCATGTTTAACTTTTCTGTGTATGTTAGTGTCTTATTAGCAAACCCATAGATTCTTCTTCCTATTCTCACATGTGGTGAGTTTTTAACTGGGTCTTCGTTCAGCTTTTCAGTTGTCCTTCCATTTTCCCTGGAGTTGTGGCTTATTCTTATTCTATCCTGACATTGCCAACAGGCTGGCTGTTTTCAAAGAAGTCCATGGAGAGACCAGATACTGGCTGTGTGTGGGCTGAAAGGATGCTGGGGGGTTGGCCATCACACAAATTTCAGAGTGAAAAGGAGCAGAACAATGAAAGAAATGAGCCAGATTCTACTATACCTTTCCTCCTGGGATAAAATATTTATGCCCAGAAAAATACCTCAGAGGGTTTGGTACAATTCAATTATGTCGCAAAGTTCCTGAAAACGAAGACTGCTATTTCTTTGACCTGGAGATTAGTACCCAATTTATATAATGCATTACTGATTTTCCTGTATTAACTGCTTATACAACCATCTCTAAAATGATGCGTTGTAATTAGGCATGATATCCACATGACTGAACGTGGAGCAGCCATTTATTTACACAGGCTTAGGAATTAAATGCTAATTTAGTGCCCAGACTGGATACTGAGATGAAAAGAGAGAAAATGCTCTATTAGAGTTGCTGAGGCCAGGAGGCATGTGTGCTTTCAGCTTGGAACCCTCTAAGTCAAGGGCTGATTGCAGTACCTTGGGATAGATGGTCTGGGAGGCGTAAAGAGGCAGCTGTAACTAGACTCTGCAGACTATGTAATAACAGCATTTGTGGATGCAGGCCAACGTACTCCACACGGTGGTGCCTGGAACTGAAAACGGGGGTGTGAGAACACGGTGCACGGTCTAAACTGCCCAGGGGAGCTGTTGGGAGCAGTCGGGGAGGGAGGCCGGGAGGAGAGAGCAGAGTAGACAGGCCTGCTTACGGAGAACCCAGAAACGTCAAGCACGCAGGGGGAAGCTGGACGTGAGGCCTCATGAAGCACCAGGGTTTCGGATCAGAAGAGTGTCGTGAAGAAACTGGGCGTTCAAAGTCATAAATTAAGTAAAGAGTATAGCCTTGGTCTGCCAGCTGAGAAGACTGCTTAGGCAGTGGCTGGTAAGAAGGGAAGTGATGAAGGGAGAGAGGGTAGTGCAGGAATGTGAGCGGCTCCGGCAATATGCAGCTTTATAGGGTAATGGATTTTGAGGCACAGCAGGGAATTTGGGGCAATGAGAATGCTGATTCCATTAACAGGTGAGACAAATTCAAAAATGATGTGCTGAGTTTTACTGGTTTGAGTTTGAGAAGAGTCCTTGGATGATGCAAACAGCTAACATGCTTGGGTGCTAATCAAAAGGTCGGAGGTTTGAATCCACCCAGAGGCACCTCAGAAGAAAGGCCTGGTGATCTACTTCTGAAAAACCAGCCTTTGACAATCCTATGGACCACCGCCACGAGTTGGAGTCGACTTGACAGCAATTGGTTTGGGTGGTTTTGGTTTGAGTTTGAGAGGATGATGAGGACGTATGAAGGGAGCTATCCCGGACGGTTAGATGGAGAGGGATCTGGGTAGATGAGCAAAAAGACTGGATCATGGTCAGAAGGCTTTGGCATTGCTGTCTCCAAGCTGTGGTAAGATCACCGTTCAGTCCTGGTGAGGAAACATCAAGAAGGGCCTTACTGGATCATGGGCAGAGGGCTTTGGCATTGCTGTCTCCAAGCTGTGGCAAGATCACTGTTCAGTCCTGGTTGAGGAAACGTCAAGAAGGGCCTTCCTTACTGGATCATGGGCAGAGGGCTTTGGCATTGCTGTCTCCAAGCTGTGGCAAGATCACCGTTCAGTGCTGGTTGAGGAAACATCAAGAAGGGCCTTAGACTCAGGCAAATCGGCTGAGAAACTGTTATTGGACATTAATGTGTATGTAATTTTCTAAGTGCTGCTCAGTTTTGATGGAGTTATTCCATAAAACAGCTGTGCAGAATCTCAATGGCTACAATTTATGCTCACAGCATTTTCTTTGTTTAGAATTCTGCAAGTGGTTTCCATTATATGCTTTATTTTCTAAAAGTAATAATTTTGTAAAAGACCAAGAACTTCGCGATGCAGAGATAAGGAAGTCTCACTAGGTTTCTTAT